CGAGTTAATACATACCTCTGTCGCCTCAGTGCGTGCACTCAATCGCTCTGGCGCGCGAGACGCTTTGATAGCACTTAAAAGGATAGTTCACTTTGAAATTAATTTTTGGCATGTTTTAGCTTACCTCAAGGGCATCCAAGATGTAGGTGTCTTTGTTTCCACTGTAGTTTCAATTTAGAAATGTTTAGGTCAAACCATTCGTGTTTATCAGTCATATAATGGAGGTCTATGGGGTCCACCTCAATTTTTTGTCACATACAGCAAACATCTCCTCACTATCCGCTAGCTGCCAGAGCCCTAAACACACTGTAAAAAAAAACAAAAAAACCCAGGCTCCACAAATGGCAACAAAAACAAACTGCGGCAACCCGCTCCACGAAACATAACAAACTGTTCCAGCCAATAACTGACAAGAAGGCCCTGGGGGTGGGGCTTGGTGGGTCAGTGAGCGGATGAGGAGGAGGGAGGGTCTATCTAGTCTCCGTTTTGTTTGAATATACTTTAAACGTCAACAAGAAGTCACGTCACCCGACATCTCTTAGAGCACCTTTAACTAGCCCAGTTCATTCAATATGGGCCAAGAGTGGAAGTTCTCCCAAGCACTTGCTGTGGTATTCCACCATACAATATAGTTCTCCACTTTACACGCTTTTATTTTGTGTCACTGTCCTAGTTTGAGTTACACTACTCGTGTAACTGTATTCAAATAGGGAAAAAGTGGAGGTGTTTGGTCGCTTCTCTGCTTGGCCCATATTGAATGAACTGGGCTAGTTAAGTGCTATCAAAGTGTCTCGCGCGCCATAGCGATTGAGTGCATGCACTGAGACGACAGTGGTATGTATCAACTCGTCTTAGTTAGGGAATAACATAGTTTAATATGAAAAAATGGTGGAGTATCCCTTTAAAAATGAATATTTTTCTTACGCAAACTCATCACTTCGCTTCAGAAGGCCTTTATTAACCCCCGTAGCCATGTGGAGCACTTTTATGATGGATAGATGCATTTTTATGATGAATAGATGCATTTTTATGATGAATAGATGCACTTTTATGATGGATAGATGAACTTTTATGATGGATAGATGCATTTTTATGATGAATAGATGCATTTTTATGATGGATAGATTAACTTTTATGATGGATAGATGAACTTTTATGATGGATAGATGCACTTTTATGATGGATAGATGAACTTCTATGATGGATAGATGCACTTTTATGATGGATAGATGCACTTTTATGATGAATAGATGAACTTTTATGATGGATAGATGCACTTTTATGATGGATAGATGCACTTTTATGATGGATAGATGCACTTTTATGATGGACAGATGAACTTTTATGATGGATATATGCACTTTTATGATGGATATATGCACTTTTATGATGGATAGATGCACTTTTATGATGGATAGATGAACTTTTATGATGGATAGATGCATTTTTATGATGAATAGATGCACTTTATGATGGATAGATTAACTTTTATGATGGATAGATGAACTTTTATGATGGATAGATGCACTTTTATGATGGATAGATGAACTTTTATGATGGATAGATGAACTTCTATGATGGATAGATGCACTTTTATGATGGATAGATGCACTTTTATGATGGATAGATGCACTTTTATGATGGATAGATGCACTTTTATGATGGATAGATGCACTTTTATGATGGACAGATGAACTTTTATGATGGATATATGCACTTTTATGATGGATATATGCACTTTTATGATGGATAGATGCACTTTTATGATGGATAGATGAACTATTATGATGGATAGATGCACTTTTATGGACTTCAAAAAGGAAACGGTCATTCACTGTCATTAAAAAGCTTGGAGGAGCCAGGACATTTTTTAATATAACTCTAATTGGATTCGTCTGAAAGAAGAATGTCATGTACACCTCATATACACAACTATCCCAAGCCATTATTTTAATGATGTACCATAATAAATTTGCTTTTGCATTACAAATTCTTGTCAGGATCAGTGTATCACAAGAGGATATGGGTTAGCTTTATAGGCTATGACATGTTGCAGAACCTGTCCACATGACTGCAGCTTCTAATCAACAATTAAACCTTGAGCTTCATGTCAACGTGCTTGTCAAACGTAAGTAATGGTTTTTGTAATAGGTGATTAACCTAACTGAACTAGGTTGCATTCAAATTAAATCACATCTAACCATGTCACGGAAGTCCACGATAAGCACAAATTCCTCATCAAAACACATAATTGCAAAATGCAGCGTTCCATGCACATGCAAGAGCTGCAGCCCGAAGAAAAAAAAGTTGAGTTACTGAAGCGGGAAGCAGAGGAGGAGAGAGCACTGAGTCATCATTAGAGTAAAGAAGAATAAACTCACTTAATACACAACTCACTGGATACTTGATTCTGATTAGTCATTCTGCCGTCAAGTCATTTTTCCATAATTATTAATTTTTTTGTATTATATGAATATATATTAAATACACAGTTTGCTAAACATTATAACTGACTGTTTTCTCTGGGAACCAATTCCCACAGCACTCAGCTGTCTCTTTCTTATCAATTTAAATATGTCCATTTATTTATTCTGCAATATAATTAGCAGCATTATGCACATTCAGCTGATCATTATTGCAAAATAAACTCAGTCAGTTAGAGTCCCTCAAACTCACACATATCATCAAAGCTATATTTAATAACGATAATTTACATTAAATTTATTTTACGTGGCTAAAGAGTCTGACGGCATATGTGTTCTTATAGGTAGACAGCTTAGAAAAGCGTGACGGAAGGCAAACAGAGTTTTCAGGGTTGTGAACTTATCCATGTGAGTGAGAGTGAAGGATTTACCTGAGGTTGTTTGTTCAAGAGTCTCAAACGCTGTGTAGATCGAGAAGAGGGAGACAAAAGGAAAAGTGCCTGAGAGAAGTTCTTCAGGCAAAAGACTCAAACGTAACACAAATAAAACCTATTTTAAACCTTGTTTAGATGCTTGTCTAATTGTATACTTCTCGGTAGGAAGTACAATGAAAAGAGCTCGAAATTGGTATGCTTGTGGCATTTTGTGTGGGATCTGTTGAAGAAACTGGGAAAGAAGCGGGTGAGAAAATAGAACATTCATTCATTTATTTTCAGACACATTAGACCAAATTGGTGATGTTTGATGTACTCTTATCTAGAATATTTAGTAAAGTACACAGTAGCACTACCATTTACAAAGTTAGTTTTTTTTAAGGATCACCAGAAGGGACAAAAAGTATAAACAAATCTATTTCAAATAAATGTTGTTCTTTTAAACTTTCTATGAATCAAAGAATCCTGCAAATTACTATCATTAAGCTGCACAAATGTTTTAAACATCAAAAATAATAATAAAAAAAACTGTTTCTTGAGCAGCAAATTAGCATATTGTAATGATTTCTGAAGGATCATGTGACACTTAAAGGGATAGTTCACCCCAAAAATGAAAATTCTGTCAGTATTTACTCACCCTCATGTTGTTCCAACCCCGTAAGACCTTCGTTCATCTTCGGAACACGAGTTAAGATATTTTTGATGAAATCTGAGAGCTGGATCATTCCTGCATACTAGTCCATAGGCTTCTTGAGGGATTGAAACTTGCCGGCCTCGAAAAGTCATTAAAGACATCGTTAAAATAGTCCAAGTGACTACAGTGGCTCAATCTTAACTTTATCAAGCACACAAACGTTATTTATTTATTTATTTTTGCGCACAAACTTTTTGTTTATGACTAAATAACAACTTTATTTCAACTATTCATTTCCTTCTTTTTGGGCCTCTAGTCAGTTAAACGTCAAACGTTGGCTCACTACTGGCCGACGCTGGTCACGTGTGTGATGCGTGTGACGAGATCATACGCTGTTAAACTCGAGGCCCAGAGAGAAGGAAATGAATAGTTGAAATAAAGTTGTTATTTTTGTTTGTTTTTTTGCACACAAAAAGTGTTCTCGTCGTTTGATAAAGTTAAGATTGAGCCACTGTAGTCACTTGGACTATTTTAACGATGTCTTTAATAACTTTTCGAGGCTGGCAAGTTTCAATCCCTCAAGAAGCCTATGGACTAGTATGGAGGAGTGATCCAGCTCTCAGATTTCATAAAAAAAAAAAAAAAAAGAAATTCTTAATTTGTGTTCCGAAGATAAATAAAGGTCTTACGATGTTGTAACAACATGAGGGTGATTAAATACTACAGAATTTTCATTTTCGGGGCCTCTCACACCAAAAGCATGTGTCTTATCCACTGCGCTATCACCACAACCAGAATAAATTACTTTTAAAAATATATTCCAAAAGAAAACTGCAATTTTAAGTTCTTCACAACATTACTGTTTGCCGTATTTTGATCAAAAAATGCAGCCTTGGTGAGTATAAGAGACCAATAATAATAATTAAATAAAACACTTTTGAGCGGTAGGCCTATATATATATATATATATATTTCAATTTCAATTTTATGCTATTAGCATGACCAACAAGAATAATTACTGTTTTCAAAAAGGTTTCCCAAACACTGCCATTGGCTGGTCAAATAGATAGCCCAGCCCCAAACTCAAGCCATTGGTTGAGCCACTGTTGCTATGTGTGGAAAGTCAAACAAACAGAAGTAATGCTTTGAAAATGCCACAGAGCCAGTGTTTACACTTTTTGGTGTAATCAACCAACAAATGGCTTACTCACAGTTCCCTCATGTAACACACTTCATCTTTAAATATACTTTGAACAAACTGTCATTTTCCTGAATGTTAATCAGTAGTATAGTTACTCTCACACATACCACATACCGTCTGACACATGACCTCTAGTCCTGTGAATGCCGTACGGCATGGCCTCAGCCAGAGGACATTCACAGAGAGTCCTAAAAGGTCACCAGTTGCCCCACTCTCAGCAAGTGTTCTTTGACATTTACAGAGCTTGCATCAGGAAAATCAGCCAGCAGTGTGTTCATAACTCTCCCTCTAAATCTGTTCCCGCATAGGTGAGGCGGCCTTTACGAAAGACAACAACTGCCTGAACGCCGCCAAGGCCTGCAACCTGAATGACACATGTAAGAAGTATCGCTCCTTCTACATCAGCCCCTGCACCAGTCGAGTTTCGACTACTGAGGTGTGTAACAAGCGCAAGTGCCACAAGGCCCTGCGGCAGTTTTTCGACAAAGTCCCACCGAAGCACAGCTACGGCATGCTTTACTGCTCCTGCCCCTCCGGGGATCACTCGGCCTGCTCCGAACGCAGGCGTCAGACCATCGTGCCAGCCTGCTCATACGAGGACAAGGAAAAACCCAACTGTCTCTCCTTGCAAGCCTCGTGCAAGACCAACTACATCTGCAGGTAGGATGGAAGACAGCTTGTTTTACACGTCAAGGAGAAAAGTGCTTGAATGCGCACTACTTTTTTTTTAGCAAGTTAATTATTTATCCATTGGTGGAAGGGGTAGGACGACGGTCATAAGACTGCGGGCCTGTCACTTGTGTGCTGAGTTAGTTTAATGAGGAGATATATTCTGTGGACTCTTGTTCATTTCTGCATACATATATTTTTAGATCTCGTTTAGCCGACTTTCTCAGCAACTGTCAACCTGAGGCGCGCTCCATTTCAGGATGTCTGAAGGAAAACTATGCAGACTGTCTGCTGGCATATTCGGGTCTCATTGGTAAGTTAAGAACATTTACTGTGTCTTACCTCTTACACAAATGTATTGTGGCATTGTCTTGTGGTAACACTAGAGTATATCATTTTTTTTATTTTTTTTGGATCACCATAGTGTTTTTTTTTTTTGTTTTTTTTTAAGACGCCATGGTGAAAACAAAAATAAGTGTTCATTATCCACACAACAGCCCTATGAGGTTACTGTTACACTAAAATAACTTTTACTTCATTATTTTAAGCTCAACATATCATTTGTTAATTTAGAGATATCATGCAACTTTGATTTATACATTTGCATATACCCCAAAAAATATTTGTTTATTGGGTCACACTTCAAAATGTATGAATGTCATTGCATTAGATACACATTTTAAGGCAAGTTTGGTTTATTTTAACGAAATATAGGTCAAGCACACTTAAAGCAAATCACGGTAACACTTTACAATAAGGTTCATTAGTTAACTACATTAGTTAACATTAACTAAGAATGAATAATACTTCAGCATTTGTTCATTTCAACATTTACTAATACTTTATTAAAATCTTGTTAACATTAGTTAATGTACTGTGAACTAACAAGAACAAACAATGAACATCTGGATTTGTATTAACTAACGTTAATAAAGATTAACAAGTACAGTAACAAATGTATTGCTCATGCTTAGTTTTTGCTAGTTAATACATTAACTAATGTTTAATAAATGAACCTTATTGTAAAGTGTTACCCAAAACATTTTACAAAAAGTTTCTTAGGCTTTAACTGATGAAACAAAGCTATAGAATACTGTTCAAATGCGTTTTATTTTTCATTTTTATAGAAATCGCTACTTGCTTTGATCAAAAATAAAGTAAAACAGTATATTGTGAAATATTACATTTTTACTTGAATATAATTAAAATATAATCTATTCCTGTCATGCAAACCTGATTTTTTTGCAACCTAACTCCAGTATTCAGTGTCACATGATCCTTCAGAAATCATTCTAATATGCTGATTTAGTGTGGAAGAAACATTTCTTATTATAATCAGTGTTTTTGTGGAAACCGTGATACATTTTTTTCAGGATTCTTTGATAAATGGATTCAAATTTTTTTGAAGATGCCATTTGGTTTAATATTTTCCATCCAATGAAATGACATTCATATACTTCCAAGTGTGTGGGGCGAATGTATATTTCGCTTTTGAAAGTACATGATCTACCAATCTGTGACATATTGTCTTTGACCATGCATTTTGACCCTCGTAATATGTAACAGGTACGGTGATGACCCCTAACTACCTCCGTGCCCTTGGCGTCAGCGTGTCTCCTTGGTGTGACTGTAGCAACAGCGGAAACGGAAAAGCAGAATGTGACAAGTTTACCGAGCTTTTCACCAACAACCGTTGTCTCCGTGAGTAGACTTCATTCACAGCTGCATCATCTACTCTATATCATTGGTTACATGGCGTGATGCTTTGACTGACAGAATTCTCCCATCAACACTGACTCTAAAGTTGAATTCTGCTCCATTGCGTCTTCATGATCATTCACAGTCTGCACCAGTAAATCTGATCTCTGCGATTTGTGTTGCTGTGCGGTTCAAAGCAGTCTGATGGCCGAGAGACAGAGAAATCCCTCTTAAATGGGGCGCTGAGAGGGGGGATTGACATAAAAAGGCAATAAATCATTACTGAAGTGTCCATGGGCCTGGAAGAGTACGGAAAGCACGCATTATTTTGTCAGGGAGTTATTCAAAAACATCCATTTAGATAGATGAACTGAATATAGGGAGCTAGAGAGCAGATGAGAAGGAGGATTTGTCTACATGAGACGACAGACCGGATGATATAGCAGTACCGACACACATCCACACCTCATATCTGACACGTCCACATCTATGTGTGCTTTTGTGTTTACGTACAGAGAGAGAGATAGAGGGAAAGAAAAAGACTGTCCGTCCAATAAGATGTTAGTGAGTTCAAACAGCATGAGACATAAGCATATATAAGCTAAATGTTTTCTTAGCTCTTTTTAGTTTAGTAGGCCCAGTACTGATATTATAGATGGTTTATTAAGAAGCATTCAGGGCCTTCTAATACCTAATTGACACATGATTTTTGATATTAATACGTTTAGTTTAATAAAATAACAAAAATAACAATTATTTTGTCATTTATTCATTTATTGGGTGAAGTATCCCTGGCTTAATAAATCAATGCAAAAAAAAAAGCAACTAAGCACCTATTATCATATTAGATTAATAAATCAGTCATAATTAAACCAACGGTCATTTACTTGCCTCTGAATCTGGCCACTCATATGATGCCATTTAAAGGATTAGTTCACTTTAAAATTATAAAGTGATAATTTACTCACCCCCATGTCATCCAAGATGTCCACGTCTTTCTTTCTTCAGTCGAAAAGAAATTAAGGTTTTTGATGAAAACATTCCAGATTTTTTCTCCATATAATGGACTTCAATGGGAACCAAACGGTTTAAGGTCCAAATGAGAGTTTCAGTGCAGCTTCAAAGGGCTTTAAACGACACCAGATGATGAATAAGGGTCTTATCTGACCTTTCGAGTCATGACTCGAAAAAAGATTAGTTCATTTTGATTCGTTTCGCTAGATACGACCCTTATTCATCTTCTGGTGTCGTTTAAAGCCCTTTGAAGCTGCACTGAAACTCTCATTTGGACCTTGAACCATTTGGTTCCCATTGAAGTCCATTATATTGAGAAAGATCCTCGTATGTTTTCATCAAAAACCTTAATTTCTTTTCGACTGAAGAAAGAAAGACGTGGACATCTTGGATGACAGGGGGATGAGTAAATTATCGGCAAAAGTTTTTTTTTTTAAAGTGAACTTTAAGTCTTTAATTCTAAATAATATACAGGTATGCTTTGAATAAACATGCATTCTTATGAGAGTAATTGAACACAAAAGAATATATTTTGAAGAATGTTGATAACCGAAAAGTTAATGGGCCCCATTGCTTCTATGGTATTTCTTTAAAGGGTAACTAAACCCCTGGTCAAAGCCTGACTCCACCCACTGGCAATATTTGAAAAATGCTGTAAAAGTGGGCAGAGCCCAGCAGAGGGGGGCGTGCACCTGAGACGCATCTCTTTGTATGGAACTTGCCTACGTCACCAACAACCGCTGTGTCACGTACTACCGCAAACATCCAATAGGAAAATTCAACTGCAGTAGCCACCGTTCTACCTGAAGAGGGCAGCACTAAGACGTTTTTACACCATAAATTGTAGAATTAAAACACTTTAAACCCAAATGTCAAAAAATGTACTGGAATCAATGAACAGCATTTATGAAGCTCCATTCTTACAGATCATTAACTAAAAAAAGTTGTTTTAGTGTTTAGTTACCCTTTAAGGAAGTCAATGGGGCCCCTCAAACATTTAGTTACTGACATTCAGCAGAAGAAATTCAGAAAGGTTTGGAACAACTTGAGGGTGAGTAAATGATGATAGATTTTTTCATTTTTGGCTGAACTATCCCTAGCAATAACACAGTAATGTAGAATGAGGCTTTATGAATCTCTAACCTTTAAGACACAGAGTCAGCTTGCAAGCCTGGCCTTAAGAGAATCTCAACACTCAATAATAATGCCAGCTCTTCTCTGTTAATAGATGGTACTTAATACACAAGCAGTACTCATCAATAATCTCCCACTTGCCCTTTAGCATGCTGTGGCGGCGTGAGGTAAATAACAGACTCTGAAGACAAAAGTGCTCTTGAGAATAAAGTCATTTAAAAAAGACAGTTGAGTCATAATGGCCTCCCTCATTTTATCACTGGAAGGTCCCAGAGTAAGTGGAGGACTTCCTGCACTTCCACACTGAGGCTAAGTGCCTCTTTGTCAGAATTCATCGGCTACAATGTTAAGAAATTTAGAAAGAAGCTCTTATTTCAAAAACGTTCCAGATAGCGGCATGTCAGTGTCAACTCCATTTTGAGCAGGGTGAGAATGACTATTAAACACATCCTACCGTTATAAGATATAAAGTAATAAAACGGATTTAAAAATAAACATTAGATGAAAAACTTAAACTAAAACTTCTTTTATTTCACATTTCTCACAAGTTTGTTTTTAATTATACTGTATATATTTAATTATATATATAGTGTAATACAAATAAAAATAAATAAATAAAATGAAATCTCAATGTTGTGTGAAAATTAAAAATCAAATCCGATCTGTGTTGTTTTATATTAAAAATTATGCATTTTTATATATATATATATATATATATATATATATATATATATATATATATATATATTATATATATATATATATATATCAGGGAATAAAAAGGCACAATTAGTCAAAATTGATGATACAATTATGTATAGCCATTGTAAAAAATTGCATTTCTTCTTCCTATCACTTCCTATCATTAAAAACCCCTCAAAAAACCCTAATTTTATTTCCTGAGGTGTGGGTAATTAAATTCAACTATACTATAAACTCAACTAAACTCACTATTTAAAGAAAAAAAAAATGCCAATACTTATTTAACTAAAACATTTCGCTCTTCATTCCTGCATTATACAGGCAATGCCATCCAAGCGTTTGGTAATGGCACAGATGTTGGTGTGTGGCAACCCCAGCCACCCATCCTGTCCACTCCACCTGACCCTTACAATCCACCGAGAGGACGGGACAGGACGTCTAACACACTGGATGACCCATCACAGACCAATGAGCTGGACAGTAATGCGGACCATCTATACAGCTTCTGCGGAAGCCTGCAGGTATTGAAAACAAGCAGCACACTATATTTACAGTAAAAGACAGACTGACAGAAATGCAGGTCATCAGAAATAAAGTTGATTAGGAAAGTAAGTGCGGTAGAAATGGCAGTCTAAAATGTCTCCTGATCAGCCCATCTCTTTTTTTTTTCTCGGATCGCCTTTTAAACCCTCATATTGACTATCTCTAATGGTGAATGACAGCTGTCAGTCAGACACATGCCGCTGGCTCACTCAGATGGTTAAAGATGCACAGCCTACATCAACTTTATAAACAGCTGGCAGCTTGTTTGGATGCTTTCAGGCTTTGCTTGGCATACGACGACTATCATTTTTCGAGATTCGGAGTGGGATGAAGGTTTACTTTTGATTGATGGGTGTGGGCTGTTGCAGTGATAACACACATAGGGCCTTTGGGTAGAAAAGAGATACATCAAACTGCCAGAGCTGTCATGTCAGAGCTAATTGGCTGGCTCATTAACATGAGGAACGCCCTTAAGCAGGATATACCCACCTATTACAGTCTCTCTGAGGGAAACTTATCTTCACATATCATCTGTGCATCGAGCTTCAAGACTGGCATGTCTCTAAAACAGTCTGAGGCAAGTGTACTGTACTGCAACACGGTAAAATCAAAGTATAACCTTCACTTTTTAATGCACGATTATTCTTTGGGATTTTTGCTGTTCTCTTTGTAGATAAAAAAAAGAAAAAGATAATAATTAACACCAAAATAAGGAGAAAAAAATTAGTTGACATTATCTGGGCTTTTTTTTCATATTTAATATTTTATTTTTAGGAAGTTAGTTAAGCATGGTTGTGTTTTTTTATTGGGTTTAAAGAACTTATAAAGCATTTAAAATTTTGTTTTCAATTTTTAATCTTATCAATCTAAATTCAAAAATACAAGCTTAATATTGTATCCCTCTAAAACACATTGTTCACTTATTTTCTTTAATACAGATGCTGTTGATAAAGCTAACTTATATTTAATTTTTTTTTTCAGTTCATTATGTCCAAATACAGAATACCAGATAGTCTCCTGCAGATAGCACAACAATTTATCATATTGGAGTTATAACAATATCATGATTTATTAGTAGACAAAGTTTCTTTTGTCAGACTTCCAGGAAGGCTATTAATCATTCTATCCCACAATGCCTTTCGCAAGAATTAGCTCCATTCTCTCTCAATTGTGCGGTACCATTATTATATTCCAGATTCTCTGGAGAATCACTTCATCGTTCCAACAAACCAACCTGAGTGTGTGTGTGTGTGTGTGTGCGTGTGCGTGTGGGAAACGGGATAGCAGAGGAGTCTCAACTGGGTATTAAAATATATTGGTGTGTCACATATTAATGCAGACACACTGCCCTCCTGCACACAACGAAACACACACACAGAGCACATTGATTGGAAAGACCTGGGTCTTAGAGAGTGCTCTTTGGCTACAGCGCTGTATACGAGTCGTGTTTGTGTGTGGGCTGTAGGGCTCATTATCATAACGTTACATCTCTCTTAGAGCCCAATACCGTATGACCTCTATTTGCCGTGGTGAATTACAGTGCTTTATTGAAGTTGTGCTTGACTTAGATCGCGCTGGACTCGGTTTAAAGGGTTACTGAATGGAAATGCATCAGTCTGGGAAATGGTTTATAACACAAAACCTTGAAGAGCTTCTTGCAAGTAATTGACTTTCAGCCTGTATTTCAGCTCTCCTCTTTCTCTCTTTCTTTATAGGCTCAGAAACTGAAAAGTAATGCTACTCTGGATGTTCTTTGCGTGGTAAGAACTACATTTCTACTCACAGAGTTGGGGCCTTTTCACACAATTGCGTCCTATACATATCAAGCTGTATTAGAATGCAAGGCATGCTTTGTGTGAACATACCATTCCATAATGAGGTATGCCAAGATATGAAAGCCAGTTTCCACCTCAGAATAAAACAGCAAATTATGAGGTAGAGTTGAGAATAACAAATAACTTTTACATTTTAAGATTAGTCCCAAATTATGAGAAATAAAGTCACAATTAGAAGATATTCAACAATATTTGATTTGACTGACACTATTGGACGAAAACTGATCTGGGCTGGATGATGGCATCAATGTTTTATTTTATAAAGCTCTGTTTAAATAAAAGCTACTTAAAGCTACACTGTGTGATTTTTACCCCCATCTAGCGGTGAAAAGGTATATGACCATCCAGTGAATATTAGTTTCTGTTCCTCTCAATTCCAATTTCGTTTTAACTCCTACGGTGGCCAATGTAGTCCAAGATTACCATGGCTTCCAGTTTGACCTCGTCCATGAGTGTTAACTCAAACGTAAATGCGAAAGGCGAAGCTTGAATTGACGGGTATGTCCCTCTTTGGCTAATGTATTTTCAAGATGGAGGGGCAACATGGCGACCGACATTAGAACCCCTTACCCGTATGTAGTTTCAATGGCATATTATACACTCACGAGAATACTTTATTACTTGAACGAAGTAAATATACATTAATGAGCGCATACATTTTTGAAAGAACTAAGTGTTTTTAGCTAAGAATAAACTAAAAGAGTTACACAGTGTAGCTTTAAGGACATGACTTGATATGAAGTTGCAATTATGAGACAATTTTGTTGATTTTTTTTATCTTGTGACTATTATTCGTAATTGTGACCTTCTTACGTACACCTGCGACCTGCAGTTGTAAGATAATCGCAATAATCACAAATAAAGTCTAATTGTGAGGTATAAAATCTCAATTGTGAAATATAAAGTTGTGATTTTGAGAAATACAAGGGTTTGTGACTTTTTCACATAGTTATAAAGTTATTTTTTACTCTGAAGTGTAAATGGACTACTATGCTATGCACATTATGAAAAAAACCTGCGAAATGCTTCAACAAGAACACAATGGCTAAAACGTGAAAACATAACTTTCTCCACAGGATCCGCAGCTGAATGACCCCAGTAGGTTTAATGCAATCTCTCGGAGCTCAACTAGTGCTGTCTGCCTGATGGACTGGACTGTTCTCTTGCTATCTCTGGTCTCAATCCTTGGGAATCTCACAGCCTCACAGACATTATAGCCGCTCGCCGATCAGACCTGATGGACTGCTGCTGCTGCCGCCTCTGTACCATTACAAAAATGTTGTATTTTGAGTTGTTTTTTCCGCAAGTGGTTCTTCTGTGTGCGGTGTGGTGTTTCGCTGTGATGAAACTACTCTCGATCCACCTGCTTTTCTTCATCACTTATCGGAGATAACGGACATACTGTATTTGCTCATCAGAGGAAGGTCATCTAGGATTACTTCTGTTGAGAAAACTTTCTGCAAACAGGTGTCGCCCAAATTCTGCAATTTTTTCTACCATCACAGAAAGATCTGGTTGAAAATACAAAGATGCATGGAGATGCCAGAACCACTTCTGACAATTAAAGATTGATGAAGCTTCTGAATACTAGGATGCCACAGGAAAGCCTGCAGACTTCAACTAATATTTCACAGTATTTTTGAAGGCTTATCAGCAAAACCTGCTGCTCCTGTCCCTTATTAGGACCTACAAACTCCATTCTCCCTCAAAGTGGCAATGCTCCAGCTTAGATGATACGGTACGGGAAACGAACATCAGGATAGATACGACACTTTATCACGGGAAAACACAGGCAGTTTTTTGCCGTGATAAAGTTTTCTTTTCTTTTTTTAGTATCTGGATCAATTTTAGTTACCTTCTCCAGTTAAACACACTGTAAGGATGAGAGCTAAGCACCAATTTGCTTATTTTGGGACTTTTTTGGGGGGGACTTGCCATTATCCTGGATATTTACTTGTAAATACCATCTTTGTTTACAATTACCACATTCTGCTTCTAAAAGTTTATTTCTAATCTAGCTATTGTATGAAGTTTTAGTGATGAAATTCAGAAGTAACTACGAGGGTTGATACCACAGTCCAGTATATGTCAAATGTGCTGTATGTACATTCAGTGAGAACGGTTTCTTTTGCACATCTAAAAGAAGTGCTTTCCGAGTATCATTTCTGCTTTGTTGTTGTACTGGTTAGCTGTAAAAAGAATATATATATATATATAAACGTATATAGATCAGGGCTGTAAGACATGCAAGAGCAAAGATAAACTTACATTAAACAAACTAAAGATGGCCTTTTAACTTCTGTCTTATTTTTCTTCCTTTTTTTCTTGTTAAGTTACATGCATGCAGGTTTTTTAATAGTGTAAATTCTATCACGCACACTCACATTATTGGTCAAATTATTTTATTCAGCAAGGGTCCATTAAATTGATAAAAAGTGAAAGTAATAGAGTGTTAAAAAAGATTTCTATTTCATATTAATTAATTATGCATTGAAGACTGGAGTAATGGCTGCTGAAAGTTCAGCTTTGCCATAAATTATATTTCAAAATATTTGATAACAGAAAATTTTAATTGTTAATTTTAATATTTTACAATATAGCCGTTTTTACTGTATTTTAGTTCAAATAGGCCTAAATGCAGCTTTGGTGTGTACGTAAAGTGTACACTCAATTAAAGGATTAGTAAGAACACCTGTTCAATTTCTCAATGCAATTATCATATCAACCAATCACATGGCAGTTGCTTCAATGCATTTAGGGGTGTGGTCCTGGTCAAGACAATCTCTTGAACTCCAAACTGAACGTCAGGATGGGAAATAAAAGTGATTTAAGAAATTTTGAGAGTGGCATGGTTGTTGGTGCCAGACGGGCCAGTCTAAGTATTTCACAATCTGTTCAGTTACTGAGATTTTCACGCACAACCATTTCTAGGGATTATAAAGAATGGTGTGAAAAAGGAAAAGCATCCAGTATGCGGCAGTCCTGTGGGCGAAAATGCCTTGTTGATGCTAGAGGTCAGAGAAGAATGAGCCGACTGATTCAAGCTGATAGAAGAGCAACTTTGACTGAAATAACCACTCGTTACAACCGAGGTATGCAGCAAAGCATTTGTGAAGCCACAACATGCACAACCTTGAGGCGGATGGCCTACAACAGCAGAAGACCCCACCGGGTACCACTCATCTCCTCTACAAATAGGAAAAAGAGGCTACAATTTGCAAGAGCTCACCAAAATTGGACTGTTGAAGACTGGAAAAATGTTGCCTGGTCTGATGTGTCTCGATTTCTGTTGAGACATTCAGATGGTAGAGTCAGAATTTGGCGTAAACAGAATGAGAACATGGATTCATCACGCCTTGTTACCACTGTGCAGGCTGATGGTGTAATGGCGTGGGGGATGTTTTCTTGGCACACTTTGCACTTAGTCCCAATTGGGCATCGTTTAAATGCCACGGCATACCTGAGCATTGTTTCTGACCATGTCCATCTCTTTATGGCCACCATGTACCCATCCTCTGATGGCTACTTCCAGCAGGATAATGCACCATGTCACAAAGCTCAAATCATTTCAAATTGGTTTCTTGAACATGACAATGAGTTCACTGTACTAAAATGGCCCCCACAGTCACCAGATCTCAACCCAATAGAGCATCTTTGAGATGTGGTGGAACGGGAGCTTCATGCCCTGGATGTGCATCCCACAAATCTCCATCAACTGCAAGATGCTATCCTATAAATTTGGGCCAACATTTCTAAAGAACGCTTTCAGCACCTTGTTGAATTAATGCCACGTAGAATTAAGGCAGTCCTGAAGGCGAAAGGGTGTCAAACACAATATTAGTATGGTGTTCCTAATAATCCTTTACATGAGTGTATACACAGTGAAAACTTAAGAGTAAATATTTGAATTTTTTAAATATTTTTAGGAAGAGGAATCATCTTAGGGGATCATCATATTAGGAGGGGAGTTAAAACCCCTGAGTTTGAACACTGAAGTGCACGTCTGGCAGACTGTGCCATTAAGTACTTCACACGACATACTGTCAGTGTCAGTAATGGGTAAAGACTATAATTGAAACGCTCTTGGATTCTCATTACCAAAATAGAACATAAACTGAATGACTGCCCCTATGGATTAGCCCCATTCGATTCACTGTGCCAGTGTGTCTTTCACATGCCAAAATAGTCATGTTTTACACTTTGCAAGATTAAACTCGACACGTGAACAGAAAGCCATAAAAAGCTCTCGTGGTTTAGTGAAATACTGTCAGTTTGACTGATGACTCAAAAGTCACTAACCATAATCCTAAGTCACTAGTTGAGACACTGAGAGAAATAAGGTGATAATATAATGAACTTAAACTGGGTTTTCTTTTTACCGTGCAAGTTAATCTATTGTAGAAGAACTTAGGAACCTTTAAAATAGCATAATAGGGGCACTTTAATGTATTAGGAAACAAACACAAATTGACAATGAGGTTACACTTTATTTTAATAATCAACTTTAGACATTTTACTAACTACAAGAAAATTTGCAACTACATCAACTAACTGTATTAATTTGCAACAACATGTCCACTAACACTCATTAGAGTATTAGTAGACTGTTAGGGTGTGGGTTAGTAAACTTTGCAAGACACGAACTTGCAAAGTTACTAGAGTAAGAAGAATGTCTGTTATTAAAGTCTGATATTACTCTAATATCAGGTAGTTGACATAAAACTGCATTTATAGTTAGTAGAATGTCTGATGTAGGCAATCAAAATAAAGTATTACCGACAATGAACAATAGCCTAGTATAAATAGAAGAGCTGCAGAAGCCAGTGCAGTTACCTGACTATTCTTGGCCATTTTATCAGGCTGGATTAACTTTCACTCCTAGCAGGCAGGATTAAGCGATAATAGGGACATGATTGTCAGTCGGATCACATCAGTCCACTCTCTCCCCAGGACAATAACACACAAGGACGCAACCCATATCACCTAGCACTCACTCAACATGCTGTACCAGGACGTGGTGTTCCTTAACACCAGACACCGCTTCAGACATGATGATTGAACATGTGTCCAAAAGATTGGTCGAGGATTTATTAGCGGTGTCACATTGGAAAAAAAGTGAATTTATAAGAAATATGCATGGTAGGAAACAAGGAACGCTGAGAGGCAAGATTTAATAATCACTGAAGCGGAGCGTCAGTGGCCGTGGCGTCTGTTTGAAAGAAAGGGATGACAGCGCGCCATTGTAATTGCGGAGTATCGCATATTTGCATCAAGCGCAATATGAGCTGTGAAGCAGGAATGAAAAGCAAATAACACGGTATCAAATAAATTGTTTTATGAGCCGGGTGTCTGGCCTGTTTCAGATTATTTTGGAATAAGAAAGCCATGCTGATTAAAAATACCTTAGAATAGGTCCTTTGTGCACAAAAAGCACAGCCACGCGCTAACCTCAGTGAAAGAGAAAAATAATTGTGTTGCTCAAATAAAAGAGAGGCACAGAACATATGGAACAATGTAATCAGTGTGTACTGTCTGCTGTCAGAGAGGAACTCGTATCTAATTACCTCACCCTTGACCTTGGGGCCTGCAACGTTGCTATTTTTTCTGAGGACATCATTTGAAAAATTATTTTGCCATTGCACAGTCCTACTTCTAAACTTAAGTCTAGACATTTACTTTCTTTGGAGTTAAATTTCAGGGTTTCAAGGGCTGTTTGTTATTGATTTCCTTCGAAGCTACAGAAGAGCACAGATAATACAGTAGGTTAGTGCACAGTCCTAGTCTAGACATTTATTTTATTTGTAGTTAAATTTCAGGGTTTCAGGGGCTGTTATTGATTTCCTTCAAAGCTACAGAAGGGCACAGATAATACAGTAGGTTAGTGATTTGACTCACTGATAAACGTCAAAAAGATGCGAGACCTCAAAGTCCTGCTCACTAAAACTAGAACACAAGAGTTTGAAGAGTGAATTTAAACAGATAGACAGATAGATAGATAGATAGATAGATAGATAGATAGATAGATAGATAGATAGATAGATAGATAGATAGATAGATAGATAGATAGATAGATAGATAGATAGATAGATAGATAGATAGATAGATAGATAGATAGATAGATAGATAGATAGATAGATAGATAGATAGATAGATAGATAGATAGATAGGATATTCAATGTGGCCTGAACAAACACGATATAAAGTAATGGCAATATATATATATATATATATATATATAGCCTACTGTATATATATATATATATATATATATATATATATATATATATATATATATATTAGGGCTGTGCAAAAATTAATTGCGATTAATCGCATCCAAAATAAAAGCCTGTGTTAACATTATATATTTGTGTGTGCTGTATATAATTATTTTGTATATATAAATACACACACATGCATGTATATATTTAAGAAAATGTGTTATTCATATATAAAATATTTATATTTATATAATATAGATTATGTATTTATATATATAAACAGAATTTAAGCGCAAATAATTCTTAAATATACACATGCATGCATAGGTATTTATATATACAAAATAATTATATACAGTACACACAAATATATTATGTAAACACAGACTTTTATTTTGGATGCGATTAATCGCAATTAACTTTTGCACAGCCCTAATATATATATATATATATATATATATATGCATTTCATGTTGTTTCCCAAGATATGTGCTCTTCTCTTTTGATCTCTGAACTTTGACCTCTAGAATGAGAATTATAGTCTAATGTCTGTGGTTACTGTGGTCTTGTGTCATAAGTGAGGGTGGAAATGTGAAAGGGCAGACCTATGCCCAGCATGGAGAAAACATGCAGTACATGACTATTGTGCATGGGCCATTACAGCTTGAAAGCAAAGTGAAGATGGAAGTGGGCAGAGAGACACTGAGATGGGACAGGGACATGACTCATAGGACAGCTGAGGGGAAGCCGAAGATAGGAGGCTCTTTGTTATTACCCAAGGCAATTAGGCATAATGTCTGGTTTCTGCAGTCTTCAGTGCCATTTGCCTGCTTTCTTTAAAGGGGTCTTGAATATAGAAAGACAAGCATCAGCTTTGTGACCAGATGAGCCTTTGTCTGGTCTGTGTAATTTGCAATCAAGCAGAAAAAAATTACCCAACATCAGAAGGGAAATAATGCCATAGGGTGACAATTCAAAGGGAGTATTCACGTTTTCTGCAGGGTCAGCGGGATTTGAGACATACGATTTCAGAAAGGGTTTGTGTCTGCTGATTATTTCAAAAGTTCAAATAAAAAGGCCTTGAAACAAGCCATAGGAAAACAAGGTGGAACAAAAGACTGCAAAGAGCCATGCACGCATGCCATCCTGCACAGAAGATCATTTTCCTGAAAAATCCAAGA